GTATTGCATTAAAGAAAAGATTTCAAATAAATTATTTTTAATGAAACTAAAATAATAAAATAAAATTGTACTTAAATTCTTTGTAACAAGTTCTTTGCACTTTTTAGTGCAATAAAATATAGAAAAAATTAAAAAAAAAATTGCGAATTGTTAGAGGCATGGACAACAACTAAAGATTACCGCTACCGATAGTGCGAAAATGTAAGAGTCAATTTATGAATCCAGTTGTGACTAACAGTCTATAGTCTAGTGTATAGTCTAGTCTATAGTCTAGTCTATAGTCTAGTCTATAGTCTAGTCTATAGTCTAGTCTATAGTCTAGTCTATAGTCTAGTCTATAGTCTAGTCTATAGTCTAGTCTATAGTCTAGTCTATAGTCTAATCTATAGTCTAGTCTATAGTCTAGTCTATAGTATAGTCTATAGACTAGTCTATAGTCTAGTCTATAGTCTAGTCTATAGTCTAGTCTATAGTCTAGTCTATAGTCTAGTCTTTAGTCTAGTCTATAGTCTAGTCTATAGTCTAGTCTATAGTCTAGTCTATAGTCTAGTCTATAGTCTAGTCTATGGTCTAGTCTATAGTCTAGTCTATAGTCTAGTCTATAGTCTAGTCTATAGTCTAGTCTATAGTCTAGTCTATAGTCTAGTCTATAGTCTAATCTATAGTCTAGTCTATAGTCTAGTCTATAGTCTAGTTTATAGTCTAGTCTATAGTCTAGTCTATAGTCTAGTCTATAGTCTACTCCATAGTCCAGTCTATAGTATAGTCTATAGACTAGTCTATAGTCTAGTCTATAGTCTAGTCTTTAGTCTAGTCTATAGTCTAGTCTTTAGTCTAGTCTATAGTCTAGTCTATACTCTAGTCTATAGTCTAGTCTATAGTCTAGTCTATACTCTAGTCTATAGTCTAGTCTATACTCTAGTCTATAGTCTAGTCTATACTCTAGTCTATAGTCTAGTCTATAGTCTAGTCTATAGTCTAGTCTATAGTCTAGTCTATAGTCTAGTCTATAGTCTAGTCTATAGTCTAGTCTATAGTCTAGTCTATAATCTAGTCTATAGTCTAGTCTATAGTCTAATCTATAGTCTAGTCTATAGTCTAGTCTATAGTCTAGTCTATAATCTAGTCTATATTCTAGTCTATAGTCTAGTCTATAGTCTAGTCTATAGTCCAGTCTATAATCTAGTCTATAGTCTAGTCTATAGTCTAGTCTATAGTCTAGTCTATAGTCTAGTCTATAGTCTAGTCTATAGTCTAGTCTATAGTCTAGTCTATAGTCTAGTCTATAGTCTAGTCTATAGTCTAGTCTATAGTCTAGTCTATAGTCTAGTCTATAGTCTAGTCTATAGTCTACTCTATAGTCTGGTTTAGTCTATAGTCTAGTCTATAGTCTAGTCTATAGTCTAGTCTATAGTCTAGTTTAGTCTCTAGTTTAGTCTCTAGTCTAGTCTATAGTCTAGTCTAGTCTATAGTCTAGTCTATAGTCTAGTCTATAGTCTAGTCTATAGTCTAGTCTATAGTCTAGTCTATAGTCTAGTCTATAGTCTAGCTATAGTCTAGTCTATAGTCTAGTCTATAGTCTAGTCTATAGTCTAGTCTATAGTCTAGTCTATAGTCTAGTCTATAGTCTAGTCTATAGTCTAGTCTATAGTCTAGTCTAGTCTATAGTCTAGTCTATAGTCTAGTCTATAGTCTAGTCTATAGTCTAGTCTATAGTCTAGTCTATAGTCTAGTCTATAGTCTAGTCTATAGTCTAGTCTATAGTCTAGTCTATAGTCTAGTCTATAGTCTAGTCTATAGTCTAGTCTATAGTCTAGTCTATAGTCTAGTCTATAGTCTAGTCTATAGTCTAGTCTATAGTCTAGTCTATAGTCTGGTCTATAGTCTAGTCTAGCGGTACTTCGGAATCAAGCACGCGGGCAGCACGATACTTATGTACGTGACGAAAGTATTAAAAATGTTCTGATTGGTTTTCAGAAAGTTACATGATCTTGTGGATCCGACTTTCTAAAATACTATTTAAATAATCAAAAGTCATTCTTGATCCAAACCAAGACATCATAACGAGGATTACAAATGCCATATGGGTTGTTTAAATTCAATTTATAATATTTTTCAATAACAATCAAGATGTTGAACTCTTTCTGTCCCATCGATAACATTAAATGTCCATTACATTTTCTGTATGGTGCATGGTGGGTATAAATATAGCAACAAAATTATTGCACAGCTGCAATTAAAGATTGTATTTTTCTTTTCAAAGAAGAAGAAAAAAAAAATCTCATCATTTGGCGTTTGGCATGACGAAAATAACAAACAAAACAGCAACCGCAGCAGTAACAACAAAAAACAGAAGGAAAAAAATTAAATGAAATTCATGAATCTGAAACCATCACACTCCCAGCCGCAGCCAGAATTCTATTGTTATTGGCTGACGTTCAAAAATTTTGTGTTGATATTTTAATTACGTTCAAACATTCAACTGCAATATCGTTTGCTAAGTTGCAGTAGCAGTTTGGGTGATGCTGCTGCAGCAGCAGCAGCAACAAACGACGTCAGCAACAATAATCTAAACAGCAGCAGCAACAAATAAAGCAGCTGTTAATATTATTTCGCTATTGTTGATTATTGTTATTGGCGTTGTTGGTATTTTTTTTTTTTTAATTTTTTTCTTTAAATGTGGCGCCCTCTTTTACAAACGAGACATGTAGTGTGATTGTGATTTTAAGATAGTTTTTCCCCCGTTGTTGTTATTGTTGTTCTCCTGATAGAAAAATAAATACTATAGCAACAACAATAACAATATATTGTAAAATTTAAATTCTTTTTAATACAATAACAAACAAACAAAAAAATAACAGAAAAATAATACATTCATGCACCTGCAGCGCCGTCATGCATCGCCACATGTTTTGTAATGGTGTTGCTTTGATGATTGTTGTAATTTTTATGTTGTTGCTGGTATTGTTTCTATTATTGCTGTATTATTATTGTTGTTGTTGTTGTTGCTATTCTAAGATCTATGTAACTTTTAATCTTAAGTCATTCATTTATGGTCATAATTTAGCCAACAACTTTCAAACTTTGTTGTTTTGTTGTCATTATCACCAGTCAGTGGTTTTTCAACGCCCAAAATCTATGATTGCAGATTTTGCGACATTTAAAATTTTTAATTTGGAACAGTGGCATTTAGCAAAATCTATGCGGAAAGTGAAAAAATTAACTAATTTTTCACCATCTGGTTTATTTTCAAATATTAAAAAGAGAATAGAGAAAATATCCTAATCGTGAATCATATTAACTCTTTCGAATACCATTATCACCCATTTCCTGTGAATCGTTGCTATAAAACTATTAGGAAATTTCAGATCTTACAAAGAGAACCATTGCTTATGATATTGAGTATATAACTTTAAAATTAGAGATTAACAATAAGTCAACAATATCTTGCAAAATCTTTGGGAGCTACTCAATTTTCAAAACTTTTTCAAATAAAAGGGTTCATTCAAAAGCTGGAAATGAAAACTAAGAGTCCTTGAAAGACCTCGCATATTCAAAATGCAACTTGAACATTATGAAAAAATAAAAATTGGCACCAAATCGTTATTTGTGATGAAAAAGAAATCCATTACAATATGCGTAAGAGATTTTATGTGAGGCCCGACCATTGAGTCAGGCCTCGACACCTAAACGATATATCCATGGCGCTAAAGTAATGCTCTGTATTTGACGCTACCAAAAAGCGATCTTGTACCGATAATTGAACGAAAAATGCCCAGAATACGCATCCAGCGTAATTTTCAATAATGAGAACGTTCTTACACCAGTTGCCTTATAGTCCAGACCTGGCCCCATTCGCTTACTATATGTTTCGATCGATCCGGAACTTTCACTCTTGTATACGCTTTACTTCAGAACAGAGTATCCGAAATTGGCTTGCTTCGTTTTTGCCCTAGATGAGCAGTTCTTTTGCCTGGGAATGTATGTATATGTGGCCAGATAGATTGAAAAAGACCATGGTGAATAGGGGCCAATGCTTTGTATAAATTTATATTACTCCTACATAAAAGCTAAACATTTTTAAAAAACCCACTTTTAGAATTTATTCAGATTCATATTTAGTCACATAATGGCCAGTGTGTAGATTCCAATACTCCGAGAAGTCTAAAAATCAATCGATGTTTAATCGAGGCCATAAACTCAGGTTATGTCTCCCTAAGAATATACATTGAATACTTGGGATCCATCTGAAATAGCTGTTAAAAGTTAAATCACGTCTATGTTATGTGTTCCATATCAACCATATACCTAGCTATTACAGCTAATAAGAAAAACCGCTAGAACTCCAACCTTGTTAAGGGGTAAGGCAGTAGAAAAAACATTTTGATCAAAACTAAAAATCGTTCTTTTGGATCAGATCACTTTCCGGATTTTCAGATCTGACTTCCGTCTTTTTCTTTCACCTAATTGTCGATTTTGTTTAATAAGTCGGTCGGCCCGAAGTTAATACACATTGCATATTCTATTTTTCATAATCTCTAGTCCGATGCTCGACTATATCTAAATCTAATAAAAGTCATTACATATTCAATCCTGTTAAGTATTGCGTCGATAATACCGACAACGTTCTGTGTGACTATTTGCACTGATCTTAAATTTCCTTAACCTCAAGTCCATCAGATGCTCGACTATATATAAATCCTGTTAAGTGTTGCGTCAATACTACAGACAACGTCTTCTTGGACTATTCGCACCGATCTTCCAATAAGGTAGAGGTTAGATGTGGTATGAATATTTCTGAAATTGACTTCAACTAATGATATATCATAATGACGTACGACGAAAGTTGATATTGTTATTCAAATTAAAACTATCGATTATTTGATTCGTATTGAACCGATTACAAATTTATTTTCAAATCTAAATTTTACTAATCATAAAGCTATGACTTAAAATATTCGAATATCTTAAATTATAACTTAAACTTAAATTCATTCACTCTATTTGATCCACTTCCATTGTCGTCTGCCATTTTTAAAGGCAAAAATCTTATACTCAATTACAAATGTTAACACAGCAAACAGCAAACCACAAATCCAAACTGCAAAACCATAATATAAATACTTCAAACTCAAAGGCTTCTGCAACTCTGGATCGAACATAAGTTTTATATTACCGCTTAATACCCCGTCCCACTTTGTATCGACAAGAAACTTTTGCACCAAACCACTTTCAAATATACGCCTCAAATATTTATTAAGATGATCAATTATGGGGGAGCGATGAGGGACTGCCACATAAATTGGACGATAGAATAATGCCATATCAAGTTTACGGGCAATTGGATGTTTCAGATAATATTGCTGGAATAGTAGATAATCCATTAATTCGTCTTGAACGGTATACATGTAAGTCATATTGAGCTTCTGACGTTTACTATACAATTCAGCATTATTACCCGTGTGTATGCGCTGCTTTAGGTTTTGGGGTATATTTATTTCAAGCATAAGATCTACATAGGCCGTATATTCCAATAGAGGCAAACGAGTACGTCCAACGTCTTGGATTGTTCTAATTTGGGGTTCATATACCTTAGAGATAAACAGGCTAGACAAAGTTGAAATGTAGTAGTTGGTGATAAATATACCCGTGAATAGGAACAGTAAGTGCAAAAGAAAATGTTTTATTGTTTTTTGTCTTCCAAATCCGGTAGAAAGAAATAAGATGATCCTAAAAGCTGTCATAGCTAATTTACTTAAATCTTTTACTTTATCTGTAGTACATTCCATAAAATACATTAGAACGAATAAAATGATAGCATTTGCAATAATTATTAAACCTATATAGTGCCCTAAGGGTAATATCAGATATAAATTTGGTGATACTTCTCCGGCATTGGGTACCATTAGTGTCACTTTACTCAAATGCATAACATTGCTACTGTCAAAATAATCATTAAATATGCGTAAATAAATTGGTACCAAACTGAAGCCCTTTGCTGCGAGTACTTTTAAAGCCTGCTTTTGACTGACATTACTGGACCATATATCGATGGAAACATGTTCGATGGAAGCATTATAGTATTGCAAATACAATTGTAACCATTTGTAAAAATAACCGGTGCGAACCAGTTCACCTTGACGATTTCTATAGGAATAACACTGATTGGGAAAGTGAAAGAAGGGTAAACGGAAGGAACGTTGATGAAAATTATTCAAATGAGATTTATTCCAGAACTGAACAACACTGCTGAGTTGTAGCATTTTTATATTGGGATACGGATGATAGGTATAGAGTTGCTGTTGCGACCACAATAGTACCGATATAAAACCTTTGGACCAGCATTTTTGAAAAATTCGCAATAGCTGCCAGTTAAACAATGACAGCTGCTTCTCTGGGTATTCTCTTTCATATATCAGTAATATATCCTTAAAATGTCTTCGCCATAATAAACGATCCAATAACTCGAAAGTGTTATTAATTTGTTTTGCGTTTAACCAAACTATAGTTAAAAATTCACTATTGTATTTTTCATATAGGGGTTTAATGTCTTGCATTAAATCAGCACTTACTACTTTGCTATTGTTAGCTTTATCTATAATTATTTTTGGCATTTGTATTAGTTTGATAATTTCCGTAATTTTTTTATAATTTATTGCATTTTCCTCTAGAGTTATAAAAACATTGAGATTTAATTTAGAATTTTCGTTAATATTATTAATTACTTCCACAATACTATTTGCATTTTTAGCCAAGATTGTTTTATTACTAAATATACTGAGTAAAATGATTAAAAATATAATGCGCGCTTTATCTGCCGACATTTTGTTAAACTAAACTCTTGTGTGTGATGAGGTTCTGTTTTATAATATTTTTATATATGCATGACTTAGTAGTGTCAATTACATTAATTGCCTTGTAATATTACTTCCTTCTATTTTTGGTAGTATCAAAAGATGGTGTTTAAAACATTATTAAGTCTGTCAAATTATTAGATCTAGTTAATAGATAGCGTTCAATGTTAATTAGTTTATTACTTTTATTTTGTAATGAATTCCATTAACCGGCTTAGTGAGCAGGTTTGTTTGGTATTAAAAGTGGGCAATGCAGGTTCATTAATTCACCAAACCGCCATATCTAAATACACCCTGGAACAGGCAATTTTATCGGGTATTTATCATAATCAGCTGTTTGTTTTCATTGGTTGGAGGCAAATAAACATAGAATTACAAAAAATAATAATAATAATAAATAGAAAATATATTACTTAATTTGTTAAAATAATGTAAAAAACGTATTTTTGTATCATACACACAAACATCATACATATGTATGTATGTATATTCCACAAAATCATGAATGAAAATAACAACATGGCGATGAACTGTCAAAACGAACTACAAATGTGTCGTAGAAACGGGTTAATTGGCTATTGTAATTCAGTAGCCGAATTAAGTAATTCAACTGTTCGTATGAACTTGGTATTAACTTCATTCTAGACTATAGACTAAAGTCTATCGATAAGACTATACTAAAGACCATAGACTTAACTGTAGACTAAACTTTTGACTAGACTATAGACTACATTATTGAATAGACTATCGACCAGATTAAACTAAATATAAGGCTACAAGTTCAAGTACAAGTTTATACACCGGACAGTAGACTAGAATGTAGACTTAACTGTATACTAAACTATAAAACCACTACAGTCTAAACTATAGACTAAACTATAGACTATACCATAGACTAGACTATAGACTAGACTATAGACTAGACTATAGACTAGACTATAGACTAGACTATAGACTAGACTATAGACTAGACTATAGACTAGACTATAGACTAGACTATAGACTAGACTATAGACTAGACTATAGACTAGACTATAGACTAGACTATAGACTAGACTATAGACTAGACTATAGACTAGACTATAGACTAGACTATAGACTAGACTATAGACTAGACTATAGACTAGACTATAGACTAGACTATAGACTAGACTATAGACTAGACTATAGACTAGACTATAGACTAGACTATAGACTAGACTATAGACTAGACTATAGGCTAGACTATAGACTAGACTATAGACTAGAATATAGACTTGACTATAGACTAGACTATAGACTAGACTATAGACTAGACTATAGACTAGACTATAGACTAGACTATAGACTAGACTATAGACTAGACTATAGACTAGACTATAGACTAGACTATAGACTAGACTATAGACTAGACTATAGACTAGACTATAGACTGGACTATATACTAGACTAGTAGACTAGACTATAGACTAGACTATAGACTAGACTATAGACTATACTATAGACTAGACTAGACTAGACTAGACTATAGACTATAGACTATAGACTATAGACTAGAACTAGACTAGACTAGACTATAGACTAGACTAGACTATAGACTAGACTATAGACTAGACTAGACTATAGACTAGACTAGACTAGACTATAGACTAGACTATAGACTAGACTCGACTATAGACTAGACTATAGACTAGACTATAGACTAGACTATAGACTAGACTATAGACTAGACTATAGACTAGACTATAGACTAGACTATAGACTAGACTCGACTATAGACTAGACTAGACTAGACTCGACTATAGACTAGACTCGACTATAGACTAGACTATAGACTACACTAGACTATAGACTAGACTAGACTATAGTCTATATAGACTAGACTATAGACTGGACTATAGACTAGACTATAGACTAGACTATAGACTAGACTATAGACTAGACTATAGACTAGACTATAGACTAGACTATAGACTAGACTATAGACTAGACTAGACTAGACTATAGACTAGACTATAGACTAGACTATAGACTAGACTATAGACTAGACTATAGACTAGACTATAGACTAGACTATAGACTAGACTATAGACTAGACTATAGACTAGACTATAGACTAGACTATAGACTAGACTATAGACTAGACCATAGACTAGACTATAGACTAGACTATAGACTAGACTATAGACTAGACTATAGACTAGACTATAGACTAGACTATAGACTAGACTATAGACTAGACTATAGACTAGACTATAGACTAGACTATAGACTAGACTATAGACTAGACTACTAGACTAGACTATAGACTAGACTATACACTAGACTATAGACTAGACTAGACTATAGACTAGACTAGACTATAGACTAGACTATAGACTAGACCATAGACTAGACTATAGACTAGACTACAGACTAGACTATAGACTAGACTATAGACTAGACTATAGACTAGACTATAGACTAGACTATAGACTAGACTAGACTATAGACTAGACTATAGACTAGACTAGACTATAGACTAGACTATAGACTAGACTATAGACTAGACTATAGACTAGACTAGACTATAGACTAGTCTATAGACTAGTCTATAGACTAGACTATAGACTAGACTATAGACTAGACTATAGACTAGACTATAGACTAGACTATAGACTAGACTATAGACTGACTATAGACTAGACTATAGACTAGACTATAGACTAGACTATAGACTAGACTATAGACTAGACTATAGACTAGACTATAGACTAGACTATAGACTAGACTATAGACTAGATATATACAAGACTATAGTCTAGTCTATAGTCTAGACTATAGTCTAGACTATAGACTAGACTATAGACTAGACTATAGTCTAGACTATAGACTAGACTATAGACTAGACTATAGACTAGACTATAGACTAGACTATAGACTAGACTATAGACTAGACTATAGACTAGACTACATACTAGACTACAGACTAGACTACAGACTAATTTGAAGACTATAGAGTAGACTATAGAAATGATTTACTTTATAGCATTCAATCAGCATTTCAAACATGCAAAATCGTCTTTCAAAGTCTCTCAACATCGATTCCTATGGTACCCATTTGCTTTGCTGTTGGAAGAATCTTGCTTCTGAATCACATAAATCAACACTCGCATGTAGAAAGCGATGGAGCATATACAAGCATTATTTTAAGTACTTCAATAATTATTACTCAAAAAGAGAAAATCCCTAAATACAACTAAATTATGTTTTATAAACACACATTTATTAAGACATGTTAAATTTAAGCAAAAACATTAATATTTAATATATTTTATAAAAAAGTTCAATCATTATGATGTCTTCAATTATTTCTTCGTCGTTTAAACACCCAAATCTTTAACTCAATTAAAAATATTAGCAAAGCGATCAGTAAACCAAATATCCACAAAACAAAAGCATAACGAAAATATTCCAAAGTTAGAGGTTTCCGTTCACCAGAATCTCGCAATAATGTTAAATAACCACTTAAAACACCATCCCATTTGGTATCCTCTATAAACTTCTGCAACATGCCATTTTCACGGATACGCGATATATATCTATTAAAGTGATCAATCAATGGAGATCGGTGAGGCACTGTTACATAATGAGCACGACTATACATTGTCTGATCCAGTTTCTTGGCAATCGGATGTTTGAGATATTGTTGTTGGAATAAAAGAAAATCAACAAATTCTTCGTGAGTCGTATACATATAGGACATGTTGAGATTTAGACGAGCTTTTGGCAACTCTGTATTACCACCCGTAACAAAACGTCCATCCAATTCTTTAGGTAAGTCCATATTTAGCATAAAAGCTATATCAACAGAATGTTCTAATACTTTTAAATTCGTACGACCGATATCGGTGAGATATTTAAGTTCTGGTTCATATACTTTCGCTGCATAAAGACTAGATAAATTTGAGGTATAGTAGTTGGTTAGAAAGATACCAGCAAATAAGAATAAAAGATTGAAGTAAAAATGTTTCAACGATCTCTTTCCATCCATATCAATGCCAAGAAAAAGTATTACACTGAAAGCCTGCAAAGCCATTTTACCAAAATCCTTAGCAATATGCCTATTATTTCCACTATGGATGTAGTAAATTAGAACGAAAAACATGAAACAGCTTAAAATGATAATCAACCATATGAAACCGTTATAGGGCAAGGCGAGATATAAACTTGCTGAAATTTCATTGGCACTAGGTACCATCAGAGTAACTTTGGTTAAATGCAGCACTTCGCTTCTTTCAAAATATTTTGCATTTCTAGAGAGAAATACGGGTAATAGACAATAACCCATTTCATTGAGAGTATTTGCGGCATCCAATTGTGTATAATTTTCAGCCCACATATCGATGAAATAATGATCAATAGAGGCATTATAATAGTCCAAGTACAATTGTACCCATTTATAAAAGTAACCGGTACGAACCAATTTACCTTGACGATTTCTATAGGAGTAACATAAATTGGGAAAGTCGAAAAATGGCATGGGACAAGTGTATTGTTGAAAATTATTTAAATGTCTTTTATCCATAAATTGCTGAACATTTTGCAAACGTAGCACTTTAATTTTTGGATATGGATGATATGTATAGAGTTGCTCTTGGTGCCACAATAAAACCGATATAAAACCCTTACTCCAGCACCCTTGAAATATAGCCATCAATTGTTTGTCATTCAAATTACTCTCCGGCTCCGTTTCATAAATTACAAATATATCTTTAAAATGTATTCGCCATAGGATATGATCCAACATCCTTAAAGTAGTATTTATATTGCTTTCCCTTAACCAAGCTACAGTTAAGCTGTTTCTATTAAATTTTTCATATAAAGCTGTACTCTTCTTAAGATATATCTCCCGGTTTACCATCAATCTCGGTAATTCCATTGCTTTCAGCACTTCCGAGAAATATTCTGCCATTTCGTATTCTTCTGCAAGATTTACTAAAATATTTATTTGTATATTATGCATTTTGTTTATATATTTAATTATATCTGTTATATTAGTATTTCCCGTATAGTTGAGCAAATCTTGGTAGTTTACACTACTTGCTGTGACAAAGGTCACTAGTAAAATTACTATGCGTATTAGTCGTGTTTTAAAGTACATTTTTATTATAGACTAAATAAAATTTGTTATACAATTGAGCTTTTATGTTAAGTTGCTTTTAATATTTTTGTTCAGATTTATATTTTATTTCATAAAATTTAATTCCATTTAGTGTTTCACTCCTTTTTTTGTTTATTAGCTTTAGATTTTACAGATAGTTAAACTACTAATAGTTTATTTATTCATACTCATAGTAGAATAGAATAAAAGGTGGATTTTGTTTTGTTATCTGTGTGTGTCGCTAGTTTCCTTTTTACCCTTTATTTCAGATTTTATAACAATTACGAAATTGAATAGAATACTATTCTAATGTTATGTCACTTTCTTCGTAATGTTATGTCACTTTTAAAAGTGTCACAATGTCCATGACCAAAGTGACAAATAGTTGATTTTATCAAGCAGCTAATCCGGTATTCGATATTCTCGAAAGTTTAAAATCACTGCGCCTGCCGGAAGACCTGCTATCCAACTGGTTTGGGGGTATCTATTACATTTTAAATTACAAATACATTAGAAGTAATTATAATTGAAGCGTTATCATTTACTTGCTATTGAAGTTTTGGCAATTACATTACAGTGGTTTCCCTATTTAACGAGCGTTCAATTTTTGGTGGAGATATAATTTTATACTCGAGAAAATTATAAAAAAGAGCATAAATTTCAGTATTATCCAAAAGCCATTACAAACTTCGATTCCAAATCCAATTCAAGATTTAAAAAATAGGCTTCCATTACCACATTTTTATAGTTAAATCATAGAAAAGTTGTTATGCGGTTAATGGATTTTTCTTTTTTAAGAATGTCCCTGACATTATATCTTTCGTTAAGCCGGGAATCCACTATATTTGTAATTTGAATTAAAGTTTTATCAATTACAATTACTTGTAATTGAAATTATGCCCATTACAATCACATATAATTGTAATTGAAAAATTTCCAATTGCAATTACTTGTAATTGTGAATTTTTCCCTTATGATTACATGTAGTTAGTAATATCTAAATTATAATTATAAGTAATTGTAATTCATAAACTTCAATTATAAGTAATTGTAATTGGTTATTCATATATATATTATCATACATTGCAATTTGTAATTGGAAAAACTTCAATTACAATTACTAGTAGTTATAATTGGCTACTGCTCTATTACATATAACAAGTAATTGTAATTGATAATGTAATGAATTACTCTCTATTAAATTTATAATTAGTAATATCTAACTTACAATAATAAGTAATTGTAATTCATAAAGTTCAATTACAAGTAATTGGTTATTGCTTTATCAATTCAATTGCAATTACTAATAGTTATAACTGGTTATTGCTCTATAACACAATGCAAGTAATTGTAATTGATTATTGCTCAATTAAACATTACAAGTAATTGTAGTTGATAATGTAATGAATTACTTTGTGTAATCATTATCCGAAAACCTGCTATCCAGGACATATTTTTAAAGGAATAGAAAATATAACGTACATCAAAATTGGGAACAACTCTATCAGAGCTCAAACTGACTATTAGGTAGTTAGTAAGTTAGTTAGTAAGTTAGTTAGTTAGTTAGTTAGTTAGTTAGCTAGCTAGTTAGTTAGTTAGTTAGTAGTTAGTTAGTTAGTTAGTTAGTTAGTTAGTTAGTTAGTTAGTTAGTTAGTTAGTTAGTTAGTTAGTTAGTAGTTAGTTAGTTAGTTAGTTAGTTAGTTAGTTAGTTAGTTAGTTAGTTAGTTAGTTAGTTAGTTAGTTAGTTAGTTAGTTAGTTAGTTAGTTAGTTAGTTAGTTAGTGTTAGTTTGTTAGTTAGTTAGTTAGTTCGTTAGTTAGTTAGTTTTTAGTTCGTTAGTTCGTTCGTTAGTTAGTTCGTTAGTTCGTTCGTTAGTTAGTTCGTTTTCGTTCGTTTTAGTTCGTTCGTTTTTAGTTCGTTAGTTAGTTGTTCGTTAGTTAGTTTCGTTTAGTTAGTTATTCGTTATTTCGTTAGTTCGTTAGTTAGTTAGTTAGTCGTTAGTTCGTTAGTTAGTTAGTTAGTTCGTTCGTTCGTTAGTTTAGTTAGTTTCGTTCGTTAGTTCGTTAGTTCGTTCGTTAGTTCGTTAGTTAGTTCGTTCGTTAGTTCGTTCGTTTCGTTCGTTCGTTCGTTCGTTGTCGTTCGTTGTTCGTTTTTAGTTCGTTAGTTCGTTTGTTTCGTTCGTTCGTTCGTTCGTTGTTCGTTCGTTCGTTCGTTCGTTCGTTCGTTCTTTCGTTCGTTCTTCGTTCGTTCGTTCGTTCGTTAGTTCGTTCGTTCGTTTGTTCGTTCGTTCGTTCGTTCGTTTTCGTTCTTGTTCGTTCGTTCGTTTAGTTCGTTCGTTCGTTCGTTCGTTCGTTCGTTCGTTCGTTCGTTCGTTTCGTTCGTTCGTTCGTTCGTTCGTTCGTTCGTTCGTTCGTTCTTTGTTCGTTTGTTCGTTTTGTTCGTTTGTTTCGTCGTTCTTTCGTTCGTTCGTTCGTTCGTTTAGTTCGTTCGTTCGTTCGTTAGTTTTCGTTAGTTTCGTTCGTTCGTTTCGTTGTCGTCAGTTCGTCAGTTCGTCCGTTCGTTAGTTCGTTCGTTGTTAGTTCGTTCGTTCGTTCGTTCGTTCGTTCGTTCGTTCGTTAGTTCGTTCGTTCGTTCGTTCGTTCGTTCGTTCGTTCGTTCGTTCGTTCGGTCGTTTGTTCGTTCGTTCTTTTCGTTCGTTCGTTGTTCGTTCGTTCGTTAGTTAGTTCGTTAGTTAGTAGTTCGTTAGTTCGTTCGTTCTTCGTAGTTCGTTAGTTTGTTTCGTTGTAGTTAGTTAGTTTAGTTAGTTAGTTGTAGTTTAGTTATAGTTAGTTGTAGTTTAGTTAGTTAGTTAGTAGTTGTTAGTTAGTTAGTTATTTTAGTTAGTTAGTTAGTTGTTTGTGTTAGTTAGTAGTTAGTTCGTTAGTTAGTTAGTTAGTTCGTGTTTAGTTAGTTAGTTTATGTGATAACATTAGGATTTTAAAGGTGTTTGCTGCCACGTTCGAAACGTCCGTTCGATAAGATTGCATAAGTTTGTACAGAGATCAAAATTTCCAATCGTTGGTAGGGACTAGGGCACTTAAAGTGCCCCAGTAATAAATTACACATTATTGAAAGACTTTCATTGACATACTTTTAATAAACTATGTTTTTTATTTATGCAATAGCTGTAATACATTTAATATTAAATTTTATAATTTATCAACGATTATATTTTCTTTGTTTAAAAGTACAAATCATTAACTCAACTGAAAATGCTACAAAAGCGCTCAATAAACCACTAAACCAAATAACAAAAGCATAACGAAAATATTCCAGTTTTAAAGATTTCCTTTCCTCAGGATCACGCAATAAAGTCAAATATCCACTTAAAACGCCATCCCATTTACTGTCCGCTATAAACTTTTCCAACAAACCATTTTCACGTATACGCGATAAATATCTATTAAAATGATCAATCAAAGGTGAACGATGAGGCAATGTTATAAATTGTGCTCGATGATATAAAGGCTGATCAAGTTTTTTGGCGAAGGGATGTTTAAGATAATGTTGTTGAAATAACAGAAAGTCCATTAGTTCCTCATGGCTCGAATATATATAAGTCATATTAAGATTTTTACGATATTCTGGTAAATCATTATTGTTGCCCACAATAAAACGTGCCTTAATTGTCTCTGGTAAGTTAGGCAAATTTAACAAATAGTCCATGTCCACGGAATATTCCAATATCATTAAATCCGTACGTTCTATGTCGTTGAGATGTTTAAGTTCTGGCTCATATACCTTGCTAGCATACAGACTGGATAACTTAGAGGTATAATAGTTGGTAAGAAAGATACCGGTAAATAGAAACATTAAATGTAAAAGGAAATCCCTTACCAATTTACCTCCTTCTAAACCAGTACCAAGGAATATCAATATTTTAAAAACCTGTAAAGCTAATTTACTTAAATCCTTGACTTTAGTTATTTTACGTTGCATGACATATACTAAAAGGAACAGCATAACTCCACTTACAATGACTGCCAACCATACATAACCCCTGAAGGGTAAAATAAGATATAAACTTGCTGGTATCTCTTGATCACTAGGTACCATCAGCAAAGTTCTGGTCAAGTGTAAAACATTGCTCATTTCATAATATTTGGGATTTCTAGTTAGAAATGCTGGTATCATACATATATTCAAATTATTGACCATAGAAATAGCATCCGTCTGGCTGTAATTATATTTCCAGACATCAATGAAAATATGATCAATGGAGGCATTATAATATTCCAAATAAAGCTGTATCCATTTATAAAAATATCCGGTGCGAACAAGTTGACCTTGTCGATTCTTATAAGAGTAGCAGACATTGGGAAAATCGAAAAAAGGTAAACGCCATATATATTGTTGAAAATTATTTAGATGTGATTTATCGAGGAATTCAGAAACAGCTGCAAGACGTATCACCTTAAGTTGTGGATAGGGATGGTAAGTTGAGACCATAATAAAATCGATATAAAACCTTTGAACCAACATTTTTCAAATATTAACAATAATTCCTTATTGCTTAAGTTGGCATTAGCTCCTGGTTCCTGTTGATGTATCATTAATATATCTTTAAAATGTATTCGCCATAGTATATGATCCAATATATTTAAAGTTGTATTCATATGGCTAGCTCTTAACCAAACTATAGCTAGACAATTTCTATTAAATCTTTCAAATAAATGTGTACTATTCTTAAGATACACCTCCTGGTTAACAATCAATTTTGGTTTATCAGTTGATTTTAACACATCTGCGAAATACTCAGTAGTCTGGTATTTTTCTGCAAGATTTAGCAAAATATTTATTTGTATATTTTGCTCTTTATTTAGATATTTAATTATATTTGTTATATTAGTATTTTCACGAGAAATCATATTAGTATTTGTGATAATTTTACTATTGACTATAGTCACAAGTAGTAGTACTGTGTATATCTTTTGCATTTTGGTTACACTAAACTATGTTGTGTTAGGCTTTACAGCTTTTATAATAACATAATTCTTCATTCATCTGAGACCTCCATTTTTCCAATGTCACAACGATAAACGAAATGAACGGAGGCTGAGTTAATGGACTTAGCCGTAGTATTATATGTATGTAGCACTGTTTTGATTATTTCTAAAAATAAATTCCATTTAGTGTTTACTCCTATTATAGATTTTATAGATAGGTAGTTAAATTAATAGATTTATTTATTCATTTATGGGTTTTACACAGTACTCACCGAAGAAGGTGGTTTTTTGTGGAAATCGTGTGTTATTGTTTTTCTCACTTTTATCTCTTTTCTTTCAGTGGTAAAAATATATATAGACATAGGTAATTATTTTAACCATTAAACGTTTTAAACACATGATATTTAAGGCAACAGCCTTAATATAACAGTCCGATAGGTCGGTCAGGATCATGAAAAGAAAAAGATATTGACAACTTCATCACCTTCTTATCCTTACTTTGTGATGAAAAACACTGTCATGTCTGCAAAATCTCTGCATTTTATTAAACCATGGTATTGTCAATCTGACTAGGAAGTCGACTATTCTGGACTAGTATGTTCACTGGTCTTTGGACTAGTTTGTTGCTTAGTCTCTGTTCTAGTTTATTGTCTAATCTATTGACTAGTCTATGGAATAGTCTAATGAGTTGTCTGGTCTATAGACTAGTATTTCGGCTATTCTATGGACTAGTCTATGTACTGATATCTGAACTAGTCTAGAAATGATTGAGTAGTCCGTGGACTAGATTATGGACCATTATTTTTGCTAGTCTAGTCTATGGATTATTATCTTTGCTAGTCTATGGACTAGCGTGTTGCGTAGTCTACGGATTCGTTTAACTAGTCTATTGACTATTCTATGGACTAGTCTATGGGCTATGTATGTTGACTAGTCTTTGGACTAGTATATTGACTAATTTATGTCCTAGTCTATTGTCTGATGTATAGACTAGTCTATTGTTTAGTCTACGGTCTAGTCTATTGACTTGTCCGTTGACTAGTATAAGGATTCATCTATGAACTAGTCTGCACTGTGGACCAATATATTGACTAGTCTATGGACCAGTATGGTAACTAGTCTAATGATTCTTCTACATACTACTTTTTGAACAATCTATTGTTTAGTCTAGGGACTAATCTATTGACTAGTATGTCTTTGGACTAGTATATTGACTAATCTATGTTCTAGTCTATTGTCTGATCTATAGTCTTTGGACTAGTCTATGGATTCATCTATGAGCTAGTCTGTGGACCAATATATTGACTAGTCTATGGACCAGTAATTGTCTGTCTATTGACTAGTATGTTGATTAGTCTTTGGACTAGTATATTAACTAATCTATGTCCTAGTCTATTGTCTGGTCTATAGTCTATGGACTAGTCTATGGATTAATTTATGAACAAGTCTGTGTACCAATATATTGACTAGTCTATGGACCAGAATGGTCACTAATCTATTGTTTAGTCTATGGACTAGTCTATTGACTTGTCTGTTGACTAGTCTATGAATTCATCTATGAACTAATCTTTAGACTAGTCTCCCCTGTGGACCAATATATTGACTAGTCTATGGACCAGTATGGTGACTAGTCTGTGGTTTATCCTTTTTGGACAATATATTGTTTAATCTACGGACTAAACAATGACTTGTCTGTTGTCTAATCTATTGACTAGCCTGTGGACTAGTCTAATCTGTGGACCAATATATTGGCTAGTCTATAGACCAGAGTGGTAAATAGTCTATAGACTAGTCTGTGTACTAATATATTGGTTAGGCTATGGACCAGTATGGTAAATAGTCTATAGACTCATCTGTGGACTAGTCTTTGGTTTCTCCTAAAGACTAGTTTTTGGACAAGATTATTGTTTAGTCAACAGACTAGTCTGTGGATTCATCTATGGAATAGGCTAATAACTAGTCTACTTTGTGGATTAATATATTGATTAAAATATAGACTAGTCTATGGATTCGTCTATAGACTAGTTTTTGGAAAAGTCTATTGACTACTTTAATGGTGGACTAGTCTATGGTCTTTGTACTATGGGCTAGTCGGTGGACTAGTCTGTGGAAAAGTTGGTGGACTTATCTGCGGACTAGTCGGTGGACTAGTTGGTGGACTAGTCTATGGATTACTCTATGGGCTCACCTATTAACAATTCTAAAACTTGAGAGTGTCAATTTGCGAGTAATCTGTTTATTTAATAAACCAGTTTATGGACTAATCTGTAGAATGTGAATTGTATCTCAAATAATTCAAACATTTAAAATGTTTTTAGTGAAATCCATTCTTTATACTACTAAAGCGAAATTTTTACTAAAAATTTTCAAGCAAACACTATTTAATAACTGATCATGAGGATTAGTACATGTTGAATATTTCTGTTTTTTTTTTTTTTTTTTTGCTTTTTGTGGTATAAATTATGACTTACAAAAAAAATTCAGATAATAACTACTAACACAGGTTAATCGTTTCTTTTAATTCTTAATCATTTATACAGCAAACAGTTCGTTTCGAATAGTTAGAACGAAAAAAATAAAATGTCGACAAACTAGAAAATTAGCACAGCAACTAAATCAATTTTATCGTAAAGTTGAGATAAACTGACCATTAAATGAACATGTTGGCTATATTGACATCCAACAGATACATAATCGACACCTGTGCCACAGACACAAACATAACAGCAATAATAATGATGAGGAAGCAACGTAAACAGACATAGTAGAAATTTGTTGTAAACGACTAGAATGTGATCGTTATAGATCGTGGTAGATGTATGCAACAAGATACATATTTAGTAGTGTTATGATCAAATTATCTTTTAAATAGTTTTTTAATGTTGGCAATTCATTTGTTTTTGTTTTCTTTCCTCTTGGATTAGTGAAGTAAAATTTTGCAAAGTTTTTTTTTTTTTTTGCTTTTTTGTAAACAATAAAATACTAAATGCTGATATTTTATGTCATTTTTGCTGTTGCATGTAGTAATGATTGGTAATTTGTTGTTAATTTTTATGATGCCATAATTTATTTTATTTCGTTGTTTTCAATTTTGTTACTTTTTTTACAATTTATGGTTTTTTTCCACAGATCTTAAGAATGACAGCCTGACTTTAGCAGCATTTTAAAAAAATATTTTTAATCTTTGTGTTAGTTTCTGTTTTAAATTTTTGATTTATTATTCAGCACAACGGTGGACAAGTGTTTGGTTCGGCTGGTTGGTTGACAGCTTGTTCTTTAAGTAAAAAAAAAAAAACAAAAACAAATAAATAAATAAAAAAGAAACCTGCTAAAAATCTGTATTTCTTAATTACAATTTTCATTTAAACAGGTGTCTTGTCATTTGGCGAGGGATAATGATAGTGTCTCTTGTAGTGTGGTACGACACTATCATTGCAACTTGATTGTGACCGCTGAAATCATTTGAAGCTTGTCAATTTCATTATTTTGTGTTGTATGTGTTCTTTTTTTTCTTTAAATTGTCAAAGATTTACTTGTCAAATAAGTTGTCATATTTATGATTGTGTCCTTATAATTAAACATCATTATGCCACCTTTTTTTGTTACTTTGTTTAAATTGTGAATGTTGTTTCTGTTTTTTTTTTTTTTAAATTTTATTCTTATATTTTATTTTATTAATAATTCTACATGGATAATTGACACTAATTTAATTAAATGCCACATTTAATAACATATTCAATAAGTATTTATTTTCTCATACAAATTAAAACATGTTTAGTGTATTTTTTTCTTCTTTTTCAATAATTCATTCATGCATGTTTGGTGTTATGGTTGTTGCACTATGGGCTAGTTAAAAAGAAATGAATGGGGGTAAATAATAACTCACTTACGGTGAAAAATATCTATATAGAAAATTAATAGAAAATTTTCGAAAAAATTTTCTTTTTTTATTGAAAATTTTCGATAAAATTTTCTTTTTTTATTGAAAATTTTCGTAAAATTTTCTTTTTTATAGAAAAATTTTCGATAAAATTTTCTTTTTTTAGGAATTTTTCGATAAAATTTTCTTTTTATAGAAAATTTTCATAAAATTTTCTTTTTATAGAAAATTTTCGATAAAATTTTCTTTTTATAGAAAATTTTCGATAAAGTTTTCTTTTTATAGAAAATTTTCGATAAAGTTTTCTTTTTATAGAAAATTTTCGTTAAAATTTTCTTTTTTATAGAAAATTTTCAGTCAAATTTCCTTTTTTTAGAAAATTTTGGGTAAAATTTTCTTTTTTATAGAAAATTTTCGGTCAAATTTTCTTTTTATAGAAAATTTTAGGTCAAATTTTCTTTTTATAGAACATTTTCGGTCAAATTTTCTTTTTTTTAGAAAATTTTCTTTTTATAGAAGATTTTCGGTCAAATTTTCTTTTATAGAAGATTTTCGGTTAAATTTTCTTTTTATAGAAGATTTTCGGCAAAATTTGCTTTTTATAGAAACATTTCGGTAATATC